ATTGTCGTGATCTTTCGAAGTATTAAAGTTTATTTCATTCAGCAAATGGAATCATTTAAGCTCTTCTCCTAAACATATGACAGCCAGTGTGGTGTAGTGGTTAAAAGCAACTGGCTGACTTTGGACCAGTCACAAACTCTCAGCCCAAACTACCTCATATGTAGTGAGACGTGTAATATCTTTTTTTTAGAAATATTTTTTTAACTGGAAGATAGAATTAATAGCAAAGATTTTAGTCTGATTTGCATTCTGCATTTTAAGCCTGATAAATGGTTGTGATTTTGGCAGCTCAATGCGCATGTGATTTACAAGTTATAGAGGGTTTTTTAGCTGTGCAGTTTTGCTCTGTATACTTTTCGTCTCCAAAACTGTGCCAGCATATAATTTATGCAATGAAGTCCATTTCCTAAAGGAAGTACCTTGGGCAGTTCATGCTGATTTGATTATGAAGCACTATGGTTATTTTTATTATGTTAGTGGTTGTCAGTGTATTCTTGGTTGAACTTGCACTAGTGTCAGTGCTAGAGTGCTCGGTATAATTGGAAGGAAAATACCTTGCCGAATAAGCTTTCTCTGTAAATAGTATTTTGCAATTAAGAGTACAATGCCATTTTAATTTAGATAGATTTATTTGAGGCAATGTGATGTTTCCATGGTTTTCATCAGCGTGTTGAAAATGGGCTATTTTCATCCAAGATGCACTCTGCTCCTTGGTGCAGATAGAATCAAGCAGTAGAGTTGAAGGGACCTATAAGGCCGTCCGGTCCTGCTCCACTTCCATCTTGGGTCAGCCATACAGCACTCGGCCTGCACAGCAGAAGCGATTGGACATGCTGATTCAATGTATAGCTATGCAGTAGTAAGGGAGCTTCTTTCTGAAATTATTTAAAGCCAAGCAGGAGAAAATTCCTTTTATGTGGTTTTCTGTGTATCGGAGGTTGTGAATACAATAGTTAGGGAGTAAAAATATTGTCATGGCATTCTGGCCACAGCTAATGTTGCAAGTTCTCTGCTCTTGTCATGGATATTCCCAGAGATTATGTTATAACATACACCCTATTTCAAGGATTTAAATAACTTGGCATATGCACTTCATATTGAGCCAGGCCCTGTTGTCCATGTTATAGTTTATTGAGGGAGTGAGCCCGGGGGTCAAATGGCGTGTTTGTGGCCAGTATAACCCATGAAGCCAAAAAAAAGTCCTATTCATTTAAAGAGCAATTTTTCCAAGGGAGAAATCGTTCTTTTCTTAAGCATAGATTTCACCGTATTGTTTTTACAGCAAATTGATCTCTTACCTTTCCAGGTCAGAGGTGGAATATCTGAATGCTTTGCTCTGTGAAGAGTTCAGTATACAGAACACTCTTAAATTTTTTCTTTGTGTTTAGCATTTGTTTGTTTTGTTTTTATAGATTGTTCAGCTTTAGTCAAAATGATTAGGTTTGCTTAACCCTAAATTATATGGTATAACACAGCTAAGCAATGCAACCAGAGTTTAGTTTTGGATCAGATAACTTCTTTGTAGTCATCCTTAAATACTTATTACATCTCTTTTTCCCTCCTATCTTGAAAAAATATTTTGTGTACATCAAAAATATGAGATATCCAGCATTTTCAGCCCTAAACAACAGGAGCGCCTCACTATATTACCATTAAAAAAATTAGGGCCACCATTAAAAAATACAAATATTTCTCTTTCAGATGAGATTTACAGAACTTAATATAGTATCATCTAAGCTGAAGGATTTGCTCTTGAAGATTTTAGTTCAGGAAATAACAGTTATATAAGAAGCTGGGCAGCTGGAAGGAAAAACTGTTAACTTTGCTCAAGATTTGTAAGATTTGTTGGTTTGAATTCTATACTCTTAAGTGGGATTAAATTGTTCAAAAAGCTTCAGCAGAACATGATTTCTGTGTCCTAGCAAAACGTATGGATGAATTTGGCATTTAATCTAGTTGAGACTCTCAAGTAATGCACATGTTTCATGATTTTTCAGAGCGGTACTTCCAGGGACTTTTTATTTGTGCTGACTCCATTGCAACAACTGTGTGAAAATAAAGCACTGAAACTGTAAATAAAGAAGCAGTTTCCATTGCAGGCAAAAACAGATTATAAAATGTATGCAAAGAAATTTGGTGCTTTCTTTTTGCTTTGACAGCAAATGATTCACTATAAATGCTCATAACTTTTAAAACATACACAGTAGCGAGCGCATGCCAAGATATTTAACACAAAGTTCTATGCACACCCGTTTCAGTGGTGGTACCGTGAACAGCCATGTCACTGCCACTAGTTGGTCATTTAATAATTGGACAGCTATTCTTTCAGTCCCTGCTATGAAGTTTCTTATATATTGGAACATAGAAACAGAGTGAGTCAGAAGGGTCCTCCGGGGCCATCTAGTCTGACCCCTGGCTCCAGTCGGCTCCGCTCACAACATGCCCACCATGTGCATGTCCAGCCTATCCTGGAACACCCTCACCGATGGGGCCTCAGTGACCTCTCGTGGAAGCCCGTTCCACACCCTCGGGGTCCTGACTGTCAGGAAGTGCTTCCTGGTATCCAAACTGATGGTGAGCCGCCCCGAGGCTTCGGCGAATGGGGCGGCATAGAAGTTCCCTAAACAAACAAACAAACTGAACCTTGGCTCCCTGAGCTTTGCTCCGTTGCAGCGCGCCCTGCCTTCCTCTGCAGGGGAGAACAGGTCTCTCCCCACCTCCACGTGACACCCCCTCACATGCCTGTATCTCGCCAACAGATCCCCTCGGAGTCTCCTCCAGGCTGAAGAGACCTGCAGAACTGTTAATTGTTTCTATCATTTTGTTCATTATGCATAGCATTATGTTCTTGGTGTGCTTGCACCTGTAGTCACTGAAAAATTAGCACGCGTTTCATCCTTTATTTGAATTGTTGAAGTCGTGCAGTAGCCTGCAAGGTTCTACACACATGAACGATGTGTGCTTTAACATTTAAATGAAATACCCTTCCTTGGCACTATAATTCCCGCAGTTTCCAGGCGGCTGAACATCAGTTACTCAGGTCTCCTCTACAACTTTTGCGAATATTTGGTTTCGTCCTCAGTGGTAGCTTGGTCCAGTTTTGCACCCAGAGACAGAGCAACGGCCGCATTTTTTTCTCCAAAAGCCCTTCCTGTATTCTTCAGGTATCCAGTGTATATCACCAGTACATTTCATAATTGCAAGAAGATGTAAGGGAGTGGACGAGGCAAAGAAAGCCTATTTGGATTGTAACTCTGACATTCAGTGGCATTGAGATAGGCCTGCAGAATATTTCATAGCTGTGTGGTTTACGGAGTGTCTTGGCTTCAAACTAGATGAGTCAGTGGTTAACAAATGTTTCTTTTTCATCTATGCCCCATTTTTGCACAGTGTGGCTGGGAGATCTTTGTTTAACAGTAAGGGTGGGGGAACAAATCTCCCCCCTTCACTTAGTCTATTGCTTTAACAAACAAGCAAGCAAACATCACTCCAAATAGAGAAAACTGTTTGGAGGAATGGCCTGCTAGGAGATGCAATGCTGAAGGTTCCGTCCCTCTTTCCCACTTTCATGGCTAAAAACTCTACCCTCTTTATATGTGAACAGGGAGGATGCGTGAGGCATTGTATAACATCTGGATGCATGAGGTGTTGTATAACATCTGGATGCATGAGGTGTTGTATAACATCTTGGCACATCGGGGGTACAAAAGCTGAAACAAAGCATGCAGTTCACTCAGATTTTCCTGCTTCCTCAAGTCAATCCTTGTGCTCTCTAGTTAGTTTGTAAATAAAACAATGGGGGAATTAAACACAATTAATACTTTAAAAGCATCCAGTATAGCACAAATTAGAAACAATTTTGTCGTTCCATTTTCTTTTCCATAATGGACATTTTCGGTAATTATTGTGCTATTAGTTGACAGAGACAGCTTTCATTTGTTAATGTTTTGTTTCATGTAGGGCAGTATTCACATAACTGATTCTGAAATGCTGTATTCCACAGATATGACACATTCGCTTTATTCAGAATAACCTACATTCATTGTCTAGAGCAAAATATTTACCCAGGTTCCTTAATGATTCATTATATGCATTCTTTCTGTAAGACACGAATGTTAAATTTGTTCAGTGCTTTCACCAATTCAGAGCTTAACTTGACACACTAGCAGTACATCAATCTTACTTTTAAGAAATTTATTTTCTATGGGTAGGTACTGCCCAGTAACAATTTTTTCTCTGGTTTATAAGGTTTTGTTTACAAACACCAGAAAATACAACATGAAAATAAAATCTAAACCAGAATAAAACCAACAGCACAGAATAGCTGTTCAACCAGTCTAAAAGTGTCAACATGTTTACAGTTTGAATATCTGAAAGACCACAACTCTGAATCCTTCTCATTTATTTATTTATTTATTTATTTATTTATTTATTTATTATTTAAAACATTTTTATGCTGCCCCCATCGCAACAAAGCCTCAGGCCAGCTCACAACAAAAACAAAATACATAAATATAACAATTAAACAGTAAAAATATTAAAACCCAGTGCATCTTGGCTTAAAGATTTAAAATCCTATAAATACAAATAAATTAACAATTAAAATGAGTTTTAAATAAAAACGCCTTAGCCTGGCACTGAAAAACAAATAACGATGAAGTCTTTTGCTTCCAACCCTTCGGCATTTACAGGAAAGTGTTGGTTAAGATCACTTGAGCCATGAAGAGTCTTACTCTCTGTTAAAATTTCACTGAACTAGCGCAGCCGCCATGTGTGAGTCTACAAATTTATGCATTTTTGAAACAATGGCGGTCATAACCACATGAAGACAAATCGAGTCCTCAGTTTCAAATTTACATCTTTGTATCATTTAACCTAAAAATAATTAAGGGCAATGATTTCTTTAAGGGATGATATTGAACTTGTTCAAGTAAATGACAGGAGAAACTACAGCATGTTGATAGCACATCTGTTAAATGTTCCCTTTTCTTTCTCTGCAGGAAAACAGTCTCTGGCTCCTCACAAATATGGAAGGAAACCGCACTTGACAGTTCATGGTGATTCTGAAGCTCATCAAAGAGACCAGCCGACAGCAATTTCTTTCAAGAACAATGTTAATGAACTCAGTATTACACAAATTCATTACACACAGCTTTATGTACAGGTATGGTTATTTAACATCTCTATATTTAGCTGTATGGGATATTGTACTGCTGATGTAGCTTACATTTGTCATACCTTCATGAAATAACCAAGGAATCACATCATAAAACATATAGTTTAGTCTCTGTATATCTAAACATTTCATTTAACTTTCTTTTGAAAGGTTTACATCATTTCCATTGAAAGGAGCAATTTTGATTCTCTGTTGAAAATTATTTTCTGAAAAAGTGAAGACTTCTGTATGCTATATCGATGCTTGCCATTATGCACTTTTATTTCTTTATATAATGTAAACATTACCCTGATAATATAAAATACTACTGTAGAGAAGCAAATAACATAAATATATGCTTCTTGAAAAAGGTAATGGATAGAGTCACACATAGCTATACCGGGATTTGTTTAGTGTAGTTATATTTTGTTTGAATATCCAAATCGCAACAAACTAGCATTTACTTTTTGGCATCAAGGCTCAGTCTGAAACCATTATTTGAACTGGATTTCTAAATCCTGGCTTGTCTTCTCTTCTTCTACCCCTAGTTTGTCCTGCTGTGTTTGAATCTGGAATCCTGGCCTGTTCCTGCTTGTTTTCTAGCAAGAGCAGCTAAAAATAAATGTCCCTCGGACTAAATTGCCTTTTTCTCCTGTATTCCTCCTCCCTCCTTTTCTCCCTGGGAACAGTCATTTTTCCATGTCCGGCTCCTCCCTTATTTAGATTTTCACTCATCCCAGAATGCCTATTCATTTTGCTACTTCCTTGCATTAAGGGACATGTATATACTTCACTAACATCTACCAAATACTGAGTATTGAAAACACAATACTTCATCTTCTTTCTTAAGTGAACCAGATATTTCTCTCTAGCTAGTCAAGTTCTTTGTGCCTTTGCAGCCTTTCTCTTACTAAAGCAAGATATGGGAGAGTATCGAACAGGGGTTTTTTTCCAGTTGCAATACCTTCACTATGGAAATCTCAAAGTTCAAGGAATTCCTCCTTTTTCCTGTGCTAGCAACCACATTTAACCCAATAACTATCCATACATTTTCTGAGTTCAGATTCCCTCAGTCAGCTTTGGTTAGTACCACACTTTATCACAAAAAAATGAAGCTAAGCTTTTCAGTGGTTGGAGGAAGAAGCAGCATCCTCATTTGCTTTCTCCCTGCACTGCCCTGGCCTGGATAATATCTAGCTTTGAGAGCCAGGGTGGCGCAGTGGTTAGAGCACGGGACTGGGACTCAGGCGATCTGGGTTCGAGTCCCCGCTCAGCCATGGAGCCCACTGGGTGACTTTGGGCCAGTCACAGATGCTCAGCCCAACCTACCTCACAGGGTTGTTGTTATGGGGATAAGATAGAGGCGGTAAGCTGCCTTGAGCCCTTTGTAGGAAAAAGGCAGGATATAAATCGGGAAAATAAATAAATAAATATTGTTGTAAGCTGCCCTGAGGCTTCGGTGAATGGGGCGGCATAAAAATGTTTTAATAAAGAAAGAAAGAAAGAAAAATAGTTTTGCCACCCCAAAAGTGTCTGGCGAGTGGAGTGGAGCAGAACGACACTCAGACTCAAAGCAACGCTGTCATGGCCACTCATTCTGCATCACTGGGCATTATAAGGGAGAGAGAAGTAGCCAGAAGTTTGCCACAACTTCCCTAGTTCTGGCCACAGTGTATACCAACAGCAACACGCTAATAGCTTTTCCTCCTCCTCTTCCTGCTCTCCAAGACTCGACTTTCTTTGAAACGTTGTGTGTGGAAACCTAGTTGAAAAGGGCATTTCATAGTTGTAGTAGATGAAAAATAGATGATTTCTTGATAATTTGATATCAGATCCCATAAAAGGTAGGGTCGCTAGGTATACTGCTGCCTTCTGTACTAACATCTCTTTGATATACAATACTGTTAACTTGCTTCTTTGTCTACAGACTTCTGTGCATAATTGTAATATAAACATGGGTTATTAAGATGGAAATACCAGCAATGGGCCATCAAAATGCTATGATAAATAATACATAACAATGCTTTGTATTAACATGCTATGTCTCATTGCACTGTTTGAGAGCGCAGGCTTAAAAGAATTTTTGAATGTATGCTGCATACGGGTTTGTTCATTATCGCCCTGCATAAATTATTCAGAGGCAGCTAAAATCTCCTCTGTTATCATGAGCATGGCATTTTAAAAAAAAAAAACCCATGGCATTATATCATTTTCTTAATAGGACTGTGTGCTAGCAATGAACTTCTTATTGTACAAGATTTTGATTTTTCAAATTCCTGTGAAGTGAATGATTAAAAATCCATAGTTGTGGACGCTTTCCTTTTACTTCATACTTATTTGCTACTGAAACTGGTATACTACAGTTGACAATTCCTAGTGAATAGTTTTGCAGGACCAGTATATGAAGGAGACATCTTGGTTTCCCCTGTCCTTTGTTCCACGTGAATGATATTTTCCATGCAAAACATACGTATTAACAGAAGTATTAACATATGTATTAATGGTTGTTCTTAATAGCATTCCCAAGCAGCAGTAGCAACAGGCCTAGCAGAATTCATAGACCCATGCATTTTACTATCCTGAAATACCATGGGTGGATTGTTTAAAGTGTTGTTAGCAGTTAAACATGAATTTCTTGCCTGTTAGGAGTCTATTATAGTTGAAAAGCAGCACCAGTCTCTGCTGTAAGTGATCAATAACTGGAGATACCATGATTTAGATCCTTAAAAATGAGAAGCTGTTCTCCCTACATATCCCCCTAATGTTCCCATGCTTCATAAAAAATGTAGGAAGAGGATATATGGGACATTTTTTTGGTCCCAAGTGCTCCATCCTCCCCATCTGGATTTGGGATGAAAGACCCAAATCCAGATGGGATCTGTGTGGAGAAGTGTGGGTGCAAAGCAAGCACAATTTAGGACATTGCACAGGGCAGATATGTTAACTCATCAGCCTACGAACCCAATTTCCTGTTTTCGTTGAGCTGGAGCCAGTAATAGCATCAGCAAGATCAGATGGGTGTCGTATGAACCCGGGTGTCCGAAAGATAAGGACCAGGAAGGGAAGACACGTACAGCTCGGGAGCAGATGTACACTTCTAGGCAAAGCTATTGCAAGGCAAAGAGAGACGTGTCCTGGATAGAGAAGAGAATAACTGAGATGCTGACCCAAGAGACTGTAGGCGTGTGAAAGTTTTTATACCTATGATATATAGATCTGGCAAAATAAGTAAAATAGTCAAAGGTGAGCTAAAAAAAATCAGGAGAACCAAGAAGCTCAGGCCAAAAAATAATTTAGTGGCAAAAGGTTGCATGTTCTATTAATGTCAGTGCGGGGAGGGAGAAATGGTCAGCTTACGTGTTTGAAGGTGAAGGAAATAGTATAACAATGCCTAATAGTAAGAATAAAGGAGAATGGAGGTGGTAATGTGAGTAATGAACAGCTCAGTCCTATCAGAATACAGTTCCGCATCATAAATATAATTAAATATTTCTTTTTCAGAATGTATTTGTTTGTCCCCAGCCAAATCTCCTTTCCCTAGGCTTGTGACTATAAATCAACAGTGGGGCATGTTTTGACTTTTCAAGAGGATTTACATCTTAAAAACTATTTTTGGCATTAGAGTGAATTACATTCCCGTTACAGTAACCCATCTGCCAATATATTTTTACTTTCTTTTTTTAATATATAAATCTCAAGGATCACTAACTGTGATGCTAAATGCATAGATAGATAGATAAGATAGATAGATAGATAGATAGACAGACAGATAGACAGATAGACAGATAGATACTACCCCCCATGTGTGTTTAATAATAAAGGGGGCAAAGGATTTTCTTTGGGACAGCCTGCAGTGGTTTTAACCCTTCCCTGCTATGAGCTGGACAAAAATTTGCCTTAGACTCTATGCTGCTATTAACTCTGACGGGAGGGGCTCTTTTCGCACCAGTTTCTTTTGATAGCATAATTGGAAAATGAAGCATTAGATCTCTCATCTCCCAGGAAAACTCCGAGGCTCATTCCCTGGGATTTTCAGTTAGGGCTGAGAAACGCCACTGTGTGAAATCCCGAGCTGCTGCCGCCGGTGTGTAGTCATCAGAGGCATGGAACGCCTTTCCGCCTTGAAGGCCGAATTCCGTTTCAGAGAAGCTCTTGGAGGCTGCATTCCAGTGGGACCAAAGTTACAGAGGGCAGGGCTGCAGGCTGAAGCGGTGCAGCCAAAAATGCCAGTATGTTAAAGCTTCAAGCCCTTTGCCAGTCATTAAAACTTAAGAGAGACATTCCTGGAAGGGGGAAACACTGGAGAACCTAGGAAACAGCACCCCCCCCGGCCCCGCTGCCCCAACATCTGGTTGCTGGGGGAAAGAGGTTGGTGCCATTGCTATCTGGGCAACCCAGGATGTCTGAATTCAGTTTCCCACCTGGGGAGGTCTCAAGTTAGGTGGTGCCTCAGCTCCGGGGAGTTCTGGGGTTGGGCTTTGGACCTGATGTTCTTCACTCGTGTTGTTAACAATACTGAGCTAAATGGACCCCTGGCTTCTTTTAGGGTTACTCAGAGATTGCTTATCTCTCAAACAACCCTTGACCTTTGGCTTTGCATGGCAGGACACCATTGACAAGCACAACTTGATAAAAAAAGCTCCTGTGGGCAGATCAACCCTATTCTAGATTGTCATACCTTGTGAACCAGATCAAAATAAGGCAGCTTCTTATGGTCCTGTGAATTCCTATACTGTATATATGGGAATGGAAAGTTATATGGAACGTTTTGGGTTATTTACATGAATCCCAACATGGTTGGCACACTGACAGTTCTCCAACCACAAAAGATCGTCATATTTTTATGCAAGTCAAAGCACAGAGAATGATTGTGAACGACTGTGATAAAGATCGCATTGTGCTTGTAAAAGCGACAGTTGGTCATTTAATCCATCTATAGTTCATCGGTTGAAAGAAGTGTTTTTCCTGTTGATGGGCGTTCATATTCAGATAGATTCTACTAAAAGTTA